GGGATCTCAGGTCTTTCTCTGCATGGGTCCTTGCTCTTGCCCGTGGCTTCTGATTGATTGCATGGACACCCCCGATGTGGTCCCCACAGCTTAGCAGTGTTGACTCTGACTTGAACCAAAAAAAATCCTGGCTCTTTACCCTTGCTGTTGACATCCTGTATCCTCATCAGCTTGTGCTACCTCTCTCTTCTTTTGATTGGTTGTAACAGACTGACCTGATATATATCCAAACCATGACTGTTTTCATGATAGTTACCGTCTATAAAGTTGCCGTGAAAACTGGGTTAGTAAATACAGACCCCATCACTCCAAGGAGAAACGTGATTAGTTGACTGTGAGCCATTTCCTCAATGGATCGCTATGTAACCTTGTATGATATATTACGGTTTAAAGACAATGGGCTTAATATACAGTTAACCTTCAACTCAGGCCAATAGTACCAGAACTCGTGCTGAGCAAAGCTTATCGGACACACAAGAGTTTTGTTTGTTTGTTTTCCGTAAAGCACATCCTAGCTAACTAGTACTAAGAGAAAGAACCGAGCAGTCTTCCAGTGTTACATCTTGCAGCCATTTTTTTTTTAAACAGCAAATACAGCAACAGAAAGCACAAACTGTAAAATAATGTGGCATTTCAGCAGGCCATGGAAAGACCTCTTGTCTATCATACGAGAGCTGAACAGAGGAAAGACGGAGCTGCCTGGCTCAGCCCTAGAGAAACAGGTGTCTTGGACCAATTCAGTGTTTCACAGTGTTGCACATGTCCATAAATGGCCACAGAAGTCCTTCAGGTATTGATTTGGGGGTTGCAGATTTTAGCAGTAGACACGTTTGCAAAAATGCAGTCTGTAATAATATCGAAAACTAAATGCATGCTCTTCTTTCCTCCCCTTCTTTCTGTCCTTCATCAAACCCATCTGAGTTCCCCCCACTCCCGCCCCATCTCCCACCTTCCAGCCATATGGTTTTAACTTGTTCACACAACTCGTGCTCACTGAGCAGCAAGTGCATGTCAGGCACCGTGCTTACAGTCCAGAACAGCGCTGACATGCATTTTCCATGTTGCGGGGCATTCATGCTCTAGCCCAACTGCTTAGCTCTGCCTCTGTGGCTCAAGAACACAAGAGAGCCATGAGTGATGGCTCCTGCCTGTGATCCTGGCACTCAAGGGGCCAAGGCTGCAGCACATGGGGTGGGGTGAGTACAGCCTGGGCTACATAGTAAGGCCCTGTCTCATAAAAATAAATAAATAAATAAAAGAACAGCTACAGAGAGTAGTTGTTGTACGTGAGCTGTTACGTGGTATGTCACCCCCAATCTGGAAGAACCCTCTCTCCCATCCCCCAACCTGTCCCTCTCTTCCTGGGCTCCTCACTATCTTCTTTCCATTCTCATGTAACTCCATTAGAAATCTTCCCCACCAATGGCTCAGGACCCAACGCAGAATTCTATCAGTTTGCTAGATGGTCAATATGTACACAAATCAGTGTCCCATATCTGTGACGGCATAGCACCCATCTTTAATCCCACACAGTTCCATGGCTGTATTTAAAGACAGACACTTCTGGGGCCCCTTCTGCAAGTAAATCCTAAATCACAGTCTCCTCTTTTAGGATGGAGTGTGCTTGGAAGATTCAGAAGCACCACAGGCATGCATTTGAGACAATAAAAAGGGATCGCTTCTTGTTTCTTCCCTCATTTCCCCGTCTTCTCTGTCCCTCAACTTCTCCTCTCTCCTCAGGAAAAGTGAGGTGTCAGAAGGTTCCTGAGGGTCGCCTCTCAGCTAGAGCTTCTGGGAACATGGTAGTAAAGGCCCTTGCTATCTAGTTCCGCTCCATCACTCCCTCACTCATGACAGATCGCCCCTTGAATTTGTCTGGAGATGCTTCCCCCAGGTTGTACCTCCCAGCACAAACAGGCGGATTTTGATCCAGAGGCTAAGAAAGCCCATAGATCCCATCACAGAGACAAAGCAGTGGCGGTCCAGGGGAAGAAACAGGAGGTAGTGGGCCAAGGGAGTCAAGAAGAAAATAAGTTCCCAGCCCCCTCAAATGATGCTAGGATGTGATTCTGCAGTTAGAGGTAGCCCCAGTGTAGAATCCTGTGACCCTGGTCCCTAGGAGTGTGTGTGCACACATGCACGTACAAACAGGGCCTCATGGTCTGCACATCTCAAGTCCATTTAGGGCTTCTTCTTCTCTTTGGTGTATCACTTCTATCTGCAAAGTCTCCACCCAGTAAGGAAATTTTGAGAAAATCTGGGACTCCAAGGTTGAGAGGGAACTGACTATAGTTTGGTGTGAAGATGAATCACCTTTCACACTTGCTCATGAGTTTTTGGAAGCTCTGTACCAAATGTAGCATCATGCCACTCTTCGAGGCTTGGTCTACAAAGGGGTGCTCCAAGGAGATTGGCCCAAGGCTGCGAAGAGGGAGAAAACCAGCATGGGAGGGCTGGGAAATTAGCTCATTGGAAAAAGCCTGGCACAGTACCTGCTGCTCCGAGGAGGAGGCTCCCATGTGGCTGTAGCTTCAGAGTCTAGAGCAGGGAAGAATGATCCATGAAGGTGCGCACGCGTGTGTGTGGCTTCAGACTCTGTGAGAACGAAAGCTCATGTGAGCACTGAAGTCTACCATAATCAAGTCTTTTAAAGATGAAGGGTTGGGCAGGCCTTGGTGGCATGGGGGAAAAAACAAAACAAAAGAGGCAGCCCCGAGACAGGAAGATGTGACGTGTGACTAAGTCCCAGTGCGCTTGCTGGGACACTGAACTAGATACGACTTTGCGTTGCTGGCATATAGTCAGTCTTCAAAACCTTATCAACAACAGTGGTGACAACGGTAGAGTTCTTTCAGCCCCCAGGAAGAAGATAAACATCAACTCTAGTTTTCTCGCTGGCAGCATCCTCTCCTGAAAGCTACAGTTGTCTTCTCTACAGAATGAAATGGTTCAGCCAGTCAGGTCCTTCAGGTTATTTCTAGAGCGACTGTAAACTCTAGGACCAGGAGTTTACACATCCTGATAGTGGACAGAAAATAGCACGTGGTCATGGAAAAGTCTGTTTGTCTGAGTCCACCCAAAACAGAAATAGGAACAACACAGCCAATATGTAGGCTCATTACTCTGAGTTTTTTTCCTAGCTGGGGCCCACCTCCTTTCCTGACCTTACATCGATGCAGCTGTGCCCAGCGCAGGAGCAGCACCTTGCAAACCACCCTTCCCAGGGCTGGGAAGATGCCTGAGTTGGTGAAGTGCTTGTTATGGCAAACACGAGGCGTTCAGTTCCAATGCCCAGCACCCTTGTAAAACTGATGAGCTGTGGCATGTGTTCAAAATCCTAGCGCCGGGGAGAAGGAGACCTGAGGATCCGTGGAGTTTGCTGTCCAGCTCTTGTTGAATAGCTGAGTTTTGAGTTAAGCAAGAGATCTTATCTCAAAAACAAACTAACAAACAACCTAAGGTGGATAGTGATAGAGGAAGACATCTGACATCGACCTATGACCTCTACACAGGCACACACATGAACACACACACACACACACACACACACACACACACACACACACACACACACACCAGGTTGCCTGATCGAAGGTCCCTCTCCCAATGGTGAAGCACTCTTTGGACTTCTGTCACCACCCCTTGGCTTTTCTTCACGTCACTGGAACAAAGTATCACATGTGCTTTGACTGTCTTCCTTTCCTCGGTGTTTTTGAGACACCCCCCCCCCCATTTTATTAGTTCCTTGAGAAATCCATACAATGTATTTTGATTGTATTCACTCCCCCCCATTCCTTCCAGATATATTCTCCTCTATTAATAATTCACTCTCATTACTGAGAATTATTTTGTTATATAAATGTACCAAACTTTGTTTGTTCATTTCCAAACATTTGAGTTGTTTTAAATTTGGGGATATCATAAATAAATCTGCTGTGATTTACAGCAAAACTCTTACTGCTGTTCAGTAGACAAACTGTCTTTCAATAGATGATACTGGTGTAACTGGATGTTTACTCAGAACAAAATATTATTTTATTAGTCAGAGCTCTGTAGAGGAACAGAATTTATAGAATGAAGAGAGCAAGAGTGAGAAAGAGAGGGGGAATGTATTAGAATAGATTCTAGGCTGTGGTCCACCTAATCCAGCAACGGCTGTCCAATAGTTGTTCAGTCCACAAGGCTGGATGTCTCAGCTGGTCCTCAGTATTCTCTGGAATCCTGAAGAAGTAGACACCAATGCCAGTGAAGGAATGGACTTGCCAGCAAGAGTGAGAGCAGGCAAAGGGAACAAGCTTCCTTCTTCCATGTCCTTTATATAAGCTGCCAGAAGAAGGTGTGACCCAGATTCAAGATGGTTCTTCCCATCTCAAAAGATCTGGATTAGAAATGAGTCACCCCACTTGAAATGATTCAATTAAGAAAAAAGTCCCTTACAGGTGTGCCCAGTCATTACATTTAGTTAACTCTAGATGTAATCAAGTTGGAAACCAAGGATAACCATCACAATGTTTATCTCAAACTTAAACTACACACACACACACACACACACACACACACACACACACACACACACAATTTTAAATGGATTACAAGTCTGACTAGAGGGGTAAAAAATAGTAAAGTTTCTCAAAGAAAACACAGTTGTCTCCATGATCTGGAGAAGAGCAAGAATTTCTTAAATAGAGCACAGAGGTGTGAGACACTAAAGATAAGAAATAAACGGCATCTCTAAGAATGTAAATAGAGGGCTGGAGATGTGGCCCATGGTTAACAGAATGCACTGTTCTTGCAGAGGACTCTAGCTCTGGTCCCAGTACCCATGTCAGGTGGTTCACAACCACCTGCAGCTCCAGCTCCAAGGGGATCTGACACCTTCTGGTCTCTGTGGGTACTGGCACTCAGGAGTACATACCCCACCCCACCCCCCCCACACACACAGAGATGCACTATAACAACAACAATAATAAATAAGCCAAGTACTAGGAGATATTTTAATACATATAGCTGACACAGTAGTCCTAAATATATTTTAAAGTCAATAAGAGAGAAATAACTCAAAACTGGTGAAAGATTTTAGTACGAATTTAATAAGGGATAACCAAAAGCCTTCTATCATATTTACCTCTAGCTGCCAATTTGACATAAACTTAGAGTCATTTTGGGAAAGGGAACCTCAGCAGAAGGACTGTGCTGATCAGTTTGACCTGTGGCATGTCTGCGAGGCATTTTCTTAATTGCTAAGTGATGCAGGAGGTCCCAGCTCATTTCAGTGGTTCCAGTCCTAGGCAGGAGGGTCGGGGCTGTGTAAGAAAGGCAGCTGAACAAGCCAGAGGTAGTAAGTAGTAGTTTCTACTTCAACTCCTTCCTTGAGTTCCTGCCTCGGCTTCCTTCGATGTAACCTGTAAGATGAAATAAACACTTTCCCCCACAAGTTACTTTTTCTTATGGTTTTTAGCACAGCAACAGAACCCAAATTAGAACAGCTACTAAGACAAAAAAAATCCAACATTATTCATCAATATTAAAAGTATAATGAGACATTACCATATACCCAACAGAAAGACTGTAATTAAAATGACTGACAATATCAAAGGTTATCTCTGATGAGTGAAAGGGTAAATTGGTTCAACCACACTGGGTTTATAAGCAACAGAAAGGAGGATGGCTATTTAAAAAGTATGTACACAGATGTCAATAGCAGCTGTATTCAAAGCATGTGACACACTTTAATCCAGATAAAATTAAAATGTTATCTTCTAAGATTTCAACCATGAGTAAAAAGAGGATCCAGTATTAAAAAGGGCTCCACAAAGGGCTGCATACTGCAGTTCAAGAGAAAGATTGATAATGTAGAGAAGAAGCAAGTGAGACCTGGTAGGCACTATTTATCAATGAACCTGAAAATGGAGTTGGGATTTCCAGATCGAAGCTTGTTGAGTCAAGCTGAGCTCTATTTGATATGAGAACAACAGCCCACTAACTGTGTTTTGGAATTATCTGCTGTATATGTGCATGCGTGTGTGCATGTGTGTGGTGTCAGGACAGGAAAAAGAAAGGCCATAGTACAGCCAATGAGATTCTTGACTATTATGGCTTCAGCTCATTGATCTCAAAACCATAATGAAGCTGGTTCTAGTTCTAGAGAGCTAGACCTCCACCTGACCTCCTTCCTGTCTGTGAGGTTCAGCTCTTTTTCCACACACAGTACCAGTGAAGGACAGTGTTTATGGAATTCTGGAAGCTCCTGGGTGGGGAGCATCATACCCACCCCCACTGGCTGTATGACTTACACTGCACGCCCACCATGACATCTTTTCTAAAAGCAGCAACAGCCTCATTCAAACACAGAATGGAAGGAATGTTTGAGAAGAGATCAACAAGCATGGCCCAGGGTACTGTGGTTAAGCACCCACAGGGCCAGGGCATACATGGAGCTTGGTATCAATGAGTGACATGAGGTATTCATGTAAACTTCTACCTCAACCACACACAGCCTGATTAAACTACCTCCTGATGGTATGGGGAGAGCCAAAGAAATCTGCCATTTTTAGTAGGAAGAAGTATAGAAAATGTTGTCAGGAAAAAAATAAAACGTGTTGCTGTTTCACAAGTAAACAGTCCACAGGAAGCCACAAGACAATTTTAAAATCCCTATTGAAAGTCCAGGAAAGACGTAGACTACAGTTCCAAAGAATGAACTCCTAAACTAAACCCGTTGAGCTCGGCTATTGAAACGACCAACTGTTGTGGAAGAAAATAAAACATATTTACAAACCGGGAAATTCATTCAAGCAAACACAGGAACCCAGAATCCCTTGCAATGAAATAGGCAGTCCAGTCAATTCTGCTGTAAGCACTGTGGGGTGGGATCACCCTCCACATAACTCCATCACAGCCCTTCCCATCCATGTTCCCCACATTTTCCTCCTGTGTGCATCCCGAGATGGAATTCTTCTCATAGAAGCACTGATTCTTCTAATCACATGCTTTCCTATTTCGACCTGTCTTGACAATGCTCATAGATCACTCCCCTCCCAAGCCATTTGGAAGCCATGGCCCTAACCTCTTGTTGAGATTAAGTTTTTCGGGAGGTGATGCAGGCTGACAGGAAGCCTAAACTCACAGCTAAGGTGTATCTAGTGTATTAAATGCTTAGAGTCAGAGGCTAAGGCAGCTTCAGAGAATGTTTCCAGGAACCTAGTGCCTGGACTGTGGCTTGGCTCACAAGAAAAGGAAGGACCTTACAGGTGGAAGAGCCTCCTCCCCTACAAATGAGCAGAGAGATGAGAGATGAATAGATGGTCAGGAACATGGAGACGGGAGGTAGGATAGTGAGGAAAGCCAGAGCAGGAGACAGTTGCTAGGTCTTTGGAAGACTTTGGCGGCATGTCCCTGGTGATTGGAATTTTATCCTGAACATGCGGATGGACAACTGACCACATCGTTTGCAAGGTGCCATGATTTATCTTTCACCACTAGTGACAAGGGGATTGATTATACTACATGAAGGGGATGTCTGGGAAAGGATAATTCTACCTTATAGAGCATAGAGGGGTTGACCCTGAACATAGCTTTAAAGGCTGGTCTCATTCATTTCCAAAGTCGAGGAAAAAGGATGTACACAGAGCATGGCATCATGAGAAATATGGAGAAGATTCAGGACTGTAAGACGGCAGAAACAGGAAGCAGCCTCAAGGTAAGAATGGTTTGAGAGAGATGTCAGGAAGCATTCCTTTACCCAGGAAACTGCGAGCATCTGGAACTAATCCACATCAGAGACAGTAGGGAGGCAAACATAGATTGAAAGAGAGTTTGGTTACATTGGTCTGAGGAGAGTCATGTGATGACTCAGGGAGGCAGAGGTACTGGGATCTCTGCCTAACCATTTGAGGGTGAAATCACACAGAGCCCCATGCCTTCCAGGAGAGCCTCACAGACAGGGTAGACCAAGGGTTGAGTGAACTGACCACTCATCAAAGCCAGCCTGGCGTCACTCGGGCTTCTCAAATGTGCGGGATCCTCGTTCTGATAGTGGCGGGGAAGCCAGACTCGGAGTGGGGAAGTGGGGAAGTGCGGAGCCCACGCACCCACCTGTTGGTACCACCGTGTCTTCTCTTCCCTACTGTACTAAGAACTGCCAACCACGCTAGTACCAGGGAAGGCCTGTGAAAACTCTTGCCCCTGAACTTTGAGCAGTATTTCTTCATACAGTTCTCCTCCCATTTTTTTTTTTTTTTTATCATGGATATCACTGTAGGGCAATGTCCACATAGGAGACTTCTGTGCCCAGTGACAGGGATAAGGACGTGGGAATCTTGAAGAAAAATCTGATGATATTGCTGGGGATCAGGAGGAAGCTGAGGATCAAGGACGAAGAACTGGCAATAGTAATATTGGTGCTAGTGGTGGTGGGTGCAATGGCGGGGTTGATAGCTGAGATAAACCATGGAGGAAAAGGCGGCAAAGACAGAAGTGTAGATTGTGAGGGTGAAAGTGAGGATGATGGATGTGTTGACAGAAACCGTGGAGAAATCCCAGCAGAGATGAAGACGTTAGCCAAAATGGGATTCAAGATGGTGGTGGTAGAAGTGACCGTGAAGGTAACGGAGCACTGGGGGCAGGGGTCACGAGGGGAGTGGGAGCAGTGAGCAGTGATGACGGATGTGATGTAACCACTTAAGGCAAAGCCACAGGAAGACATGATGGTGTGTGGTGGGAAAGACGGAGGGTGTGGAGACTAAGAAACTACGATGGTGGCGAGAGAAGGGGATGAAGGCGTTGGAGTTGTGGATGGAGGGGTGGGTGATGCCAGTGGTCGCAGGGGAGGTGGGGAAGATGGAGGAAGGAAGGAAGGAAGGAAGGAAGGAAGGAAGGAAGGAAGGAAGGAAGGAAGGACAGATGGAAGGACAGATGGAAGGAAAGGACAGATAGGATAGATGGAAGGAAGGACAGATGGAAGGAAGGACAGAAGGAAGGAAGGAAGGAAGGAAGGAAGGAAGGAAGGAAGGAAGGAAGGAAGGAAGGAAGGACAGATGGAAGGGTGTATAGAAGGATGGATGGAAGGAAGGAAGGACAGATGGATGGAAAGAAGGAAGGAGGGAGGGAGGGAGGGGAGGAAGAAGGAAAGGAAGGAGGGAAGGAAGGAAGGAGGGAAGGAAGGAAGGAAGGAAGGAAGGAAGGAAGGAAGGAAGGAAGGAAGGAAGGACAGATGGAAGGAAGGGAGTTGTGAAGCAGACCAAAGGGAGGGGTTCCAGTAACATGCAAGTCTTGAACCAGAATGTGCCAGCTTATAAAACTCAGGTAGAGGAGACGGGACATTCCAAGCTAATGAAAAGTTAGTGAGAACTTGCAGGGGATAATAAGCTGGGTTAGATAATAGTGTTTGATTATTAAGTGTTTTATTACTTACAAGGATTATATATGTACGTTAAATAACTTATCCATGCATAAGTAACTTGTATATATGAACAATATATATTAATATATGTGCTCTTTGTCAAGACCATTTTAAAGAGACATCACTAAGCTCTGTTTCAAGGGAAAAGCGAAGATTAAAAAAAAAAAAAGAATCCAAAGTGTACCCCAGAGGAATTATTTACAGATGGCAAAAGAGATTAAAATCTGGAAAATTCTGACACTGACTACATGAAGGTAGAAAGTTAGGCAAGTTTTATAGTGGAAAAACGCTTTCTGTTAGAGGTATGGAAAATTTTAGAGTACCTTCATCCAAAAGTTTTCAATGAACAGGTGGCAGAGACTAACGAAAATATTAGTCACTCAGCAAGATGTTGAAACTATTAAAAAGAATGTCAACTCTACTCCTTCACACTGTAGTCTCTTTCTTACTCAGAGGATAACACTGTGTCCTGTGGGACTGTCTTCACTTTACAATGTATCCTAGATTCCTTGTGTGATCTGTGTATCTGGAAAACTGGTGTGGAAAACTAGTAGGTTAAGATGAAAACTATAAAACAAAACAAACAAAAATAATGAAGTGTGTCCTGGAACTCACTGTGCATGTGTTCACAGAGACTTTCCTCAGGGTTTGCCCTTTTTCTTCTCAATTTCCAGGATGCACGGGCAGGCGTCTCCTCCTTATGTGTCACTTGTCATTTGACTTTGTGGATGGCTTGTTCTGAGACAGGACCTATTCTTGGAGAAAGGAGGAAAGCCAGAAGTAAAAAGTCCCCAGTACTTCCTCAGGATCTTGGGCTTAACCTCTCTCCCTCCCCCAGTCAAGAAAACAATCCAAATGAGAGGAGAGTTTTTGAGCCAAGGAGTGACAGAAACCACGAGAGCTAACATGGTAATGGCTTCCCCCATCTCTCCTCAGTCAGAACTCAGAAGGTCAGTTATAAGGAGGTGAGAGGAAGGTCTCCAGAGAGAGACAGAGGTCAGGTCAGTCTGCAGAACAGTTTATCCAGCGGCTGGAAATTCCTTCTGCCATGGCCCTGACTCTCAGTGGGCAGAGCATTCCAGACTCCACCAGGAAGGAGGCATGAGGGATTACAGTCACAGCCAGGGAGACCCTGAGTCAGTCCTCTGGGAGAACCTCTCCAATTCCCTCAAGCCTTTCTACACCTATTAGGGAGGAAATGAACCAAGGATCCCAATTCTAACACTGGGGGTTGGGGGTTGGAGCCACTGGCCACTTCAGTGAACTCGGAGTATGTGCAAAACATGAAAGCCAACATCCACACAGATCACATGGCAACCGTTGCTATGCACCGGCACTTACAGACTCCACTGTTGGAACCACATGGAAGTCCATTTGTTTTTTCTTTTGCGACTATCTCATCTAGCTCCAAACTTGCTAGTAGCTAAAGCTAGCCTGGAACTAACCTTCCTGCCTCCGCCTCCCAAGTGCCAGGATTATAGGTATGTGGCACCACCCCAGCCCCAACTTCCTCTTTTTTGTGGGACAAAACAAATCCAATTCTAACAAATTCACTTAATCCCTCTACAGTGTACCTGGAATGATCTAAGTGCTTTCTGATGACATAAGCTCATCTAATGCTCACAGTCACTCCATGAGAGGATGACACTTCTGTTTGTTTGTTTGTTTTGTTTTTGTTTTTCCAGACAGGGTTTCTCTGTGTAGCTTTGCACCTTTCCTGGAACTCGCTCTGGAGACCAGGCTGGCCTTGAACTCACAGAGATCAGCCTGCCTCGGCCTCCTGAGTGCTGGGATTAAAGGCATGCGCCACCACCACCCGGTGACACTTCTGAGTAAACAAAGGCTCCGAGACATGAAGTTCAGCTTCTGCTCCTTCCGCCCCTCTCCTCTGTCAGGTCGGCTGGTCTCAGAGCTTGCTCCCCACTAAGGATTCACAGAAGCCAGGGAATGACCACCTTTGAGAAGAGAAAGGGAGATTAATACCCTGTGAGTATTACTCAGCTCTGCACAATACGTAATTTATCATCTTGGTCCTTGCTATGGCCTGAATGTTTATGTACCTCCCAAATCCGCCTTACCCTCTAGTGCCATGGTATGATGTGGCCAGGTCTTGAGGGAGGAATTAGGTCACAATGGTGGCGCTCCAAGTAAAGAGTTTAGTACCTTTCTTGAGAGACTCTCTTTCTCCTGGCCAATCGGGGATACAGAGAAAGCCCTCTGCCAAGCCAGAAGACCCCCGTCAGATCCTTGTGTGCCTGTGCCTTGACTTTGTCCTTCCAAACCTCCAGATGGCTATCAGCTCCTCAGTCAGGAGCATCCTATCCTTACAGCCCTAGCTGACTAAGACACCTTTTAAGAATGCTGCCAAATTAACCCCACTTCAGAAGTGAGGGAACAAAGCCCAGGCCTGAGGGATCCTGCCTGTGGCCACTCAGCAAGACGTGGAAAGCCCAGCTACAATCCTGAATGCCTCCAACAGCTGGTGCCTCCAACGCTCCACAGGCTTCACCTCAGGACGCCAGGCACTTCATCCAATGGCGGTGCCATGGCCCACATATCCTCTGTGGAAACTCTCTCTAGAGCCAGGAAAAGCAGTCTCATTGCTACGTGGCTGTTTGCTGGTTAGCCTCCCGTCTTCCTAGAGAAGCAATGTTAGATAGACTAGGGTTGGAGTAGCAGGGCTTGAGTCTGCTTGCCTGATGTGTGACCTTTGGAGAGCTCCTTAAGCTCCCCCTGCCTCAGTTTCCACCTGTACACAACTTGGACAAAGGGTGTTCCTGTTGTATTTTCCTTCAAGGGTTGAAATGATAAATCAAGATGATTAATAGAGTGCTGAGCAGAATACGATTACCCAGAGGGTTTAGTAAATATTGTCAATTTCCCCCTTTCCAGGGAAGCCCCAGATGACTCTATTTCCTCTCCTTTCTGTTCCCCAGAATCCTAAGGATGTCTGTCTTACCCTAGTGCTCCGTCGGACACACCTGCAGATCATCCTAGCAGACCACGAGCCCTCCTAGAACATCCTCTTCCGGGCTGAGGGTGTGGCTCAATTGATAGAGTGCTTGCTCAGAATGTAAGAAGCCCTGGTTTGGACACTAGCACCACATAAAACGGCGTCTAGTGTCACATGCCTCTAATCCCAGCACTTGGGAAGTGGAGGCAGGAAGATCAGGTCATTCTTAGGTACATAGAGAACTTGAACCAGCCTGGGTTACATGACACTCTGTCTCATGGAAGACCAAATAAGGAAAAAACAAAACAATGTGTGTCTCGTCTTTGGCAAAGAATGAAGGAGCTCCAGATAACAAGCAGCTATTTTGAATTTTAAAGCAACAACCTTTTCCATCATGAAATTTCAAGACATTTTTGAACAGGAGCTGGGCCTCACTGACTCTTGAGGATCCAGCCTCCTCTGGGAGGAAGATGATTTGCATGCATAAATTCTGATCTGTGGTTTTTCAAGTCAGTGCTCCTTTGTGTCCCCCACACGGCCCTGCACACAGTAGGAACTCAATAAATAGGTGTTTATTTATTGAAGTCCTCCAGAGCCCCTGGTTTCACAAACAGAAACCAGAACCCAAGTCTCCTCCCTTGCAGGCCAGGCCTTGGTCCATCTGAGCACACAGATGACCATTCACCGGCCCATCCCTCTGGGAATAGTGTCCAGGCTCTAAGCGGGGTTGTTTGAAAGGGGTCCATTATCTCCCCTGAGTGGGGCCTCCGAGGCTGCACAGGGAGGGGTTCTTTCTCAACTGCCTCACTTGACCTTTGGGCCTAACAGGCAGTGGGCAAACCCTGGCAGAGGCCTGCAACAAATGTCCTTCTACTCCCTCAGCTCTACAGGAATTCCTGGGAGCTTGGAAAAGCTTAGAACACTGTAACCTTTTGCTCTTTTCAATTGGATGGGGGGGGGGCTATGTCTGAAGACCTTGTGGGGGGAACCTGGTGAATACAATATCTGGGTCACCATCCTCAGTGTGCCTCTCCATCATAGCGGAGGCCACAGACAGTCAACTCCGTTAAGTCGTAGCGAGTGTTGACAGGTTAGCACGAACACTTGGAAGAGGCCTGCAAGTGCACACCAGCTTCTTCCTGGACCACATTCAGCCTCTGCAGACAGGGGCACCTGGGAGTGAAGGGGCCGCTGTCACTGACCCAGAACCTTGCAGCCTATTGAGTCGCAATGGTGGTGGAGATGAGACATGATGGAGGCGGGTGCAGATGGGGAAGACACCTAACAGAAAGACGGGGACTCCTGAGGCTTGCTGACCAACTGGTCTCAAGTGTTTGTTGCTTTTCGTATCCCATTCCCAATTTTAAGCATATTCCAAAAGTCATTTAACAGAGACCACACAGTGCCCAGGACCGTGATCCCATTAAAGACATTATAACAGTTAAGAATTTAAGCTCAATGGGGTGGCGGAGGCTCTGAGTAAAGACACCTGAGTTCAAGATCTCCAGGGCCCACGAGGTAGAAGAGGACTGAACACTGAAAGTGGTCTCCGACCTCCTCAGATGTGGCATGTACACATACAGAAACAAATTAAAATAAAATAAATGTTAAGAAGTTTAAAAAAAAAATAGCTTAGGTTCAAGGACAAAAAGATTCCAGTCCCAGACTCAAATTTCCTTTTAGTAAATCACCTTGAGCAAACAAGGGTTATTCCGTTTTCTCATTAGTAAAGCATCAGTAACACTACCAAATAAGACCGGACAGGAACAGCTCAGGAGGGAGCACTCTGCAAGCACCCCGCAAGTTCTGGCTGTCATGGTACCAACTGCTAAGACAGGGAAATGCACAGTTGTCACTGGGAGTCATTGAAGGCATGTGAGCAGGAGAGAAATGTGAACACAGCCAGGACCAAGGAACAAGATGAGAACGGAGTTTGTGGATAGAGGATTTAACCTGTGGTCTTATGTTCAGATAGCCCCAACCCCAGAGCCTCTGATCCTGCCTTCCCTACCCCCACCCGCTCCCAGTCTACTCAGCAAACTCTATTAGCCTTGTGGCTCAGGATTTTGCAGCCTGGCTGTGAACGTGAAATCTTGCCTGAAGGCGCCGAGCAAAAATAACAAGACTCAGCGAGAAATAACAGGTCTGCCCTGGTTTCCAGTGGGGTGCTGGTTTTCCTCTGGTCTGGAGTGGGTGCCTGGTGTTGCACATGGCTTCTCTCTTTCCTGGGGTCCCGTTTTTTTTTTTTTTTTTTTTTTTTGTTGTTGTTGTTGTTTTTAATACCTCTGTAGCGCTTTGTCCCTTTCCGTGAAGGAGCTCCATGGTGAACCGCACACACCCAACCTTCTCCGAGTACCTGTTTTGTTTAATTTGTTGGCAAGGAACATTGAGGCGCTCAATAAATGGATGCTAAGAGTAGAACCGAGTGGACAGATGAATGCAGCTTGCATCCCAAGCAGGCGGAAGTAAGGTACCAGGTAAGATGGGGACCTCAGCACAGGGGTGCTTTGCTTGCTACCTGTCTTTGGCAAAAGGCTCCTTGGTGTGTATGGGGCGGGAGATTATGAGTAGAAACAGGAGGGAGGGACTAGTAGGTAAGCCTGTTGCCAGTGTAAAACCCCCACCCCCACCCCACACCTACACACACACACACACACACACCCGCAAACCCCAGGCACAAACAGCCTGTCAGAGAAAGAGTCTGGCCAAGGTGTGTCCTGGGGTTGCCCAGGTCGGGTACTGCAAGAAAACTGGTGAGAGGCAGGGCACCTAAATTCACCTCTCCCCATGCCTGCACCCTGACCTACTGCAAAGGTGACCCTGACTAGGCCACCTTTACCACCTCTGTGAGCAGCAGCTGTCCCGGACTCACACTCAGAATGCCCCTCTTTTCTCTCTCCAAACCAGCCCCAGTCTTCAGGCTGGAGGCCTGTTCTCAGGAGCAGATTCCAGCAGAGCTGGGGCCCCAACGCCGGGGAAAGGTTCTGAGTCCACCGAGTCCGCAGCTAGCGGCACGTCCCCTTCAGGGCGTGGTGCAGACACCCGGCTCCACAACCCCAGCCTGCAGGACCCTGGGAGGTCTGAGCTCAGGGCAGCATCAGAGGAGCGAGGAGCGGACAAGGGCAGGCTTTGTGCGCAGCGGCGGGACTGCGAGTCCCCCGACAGGGTCCTAGCCCTGCCCTACAGATTCCTGCGGTGCACCCTGGCAACGGTGGCCTCACCGCAGGCGACCGCCCCTTTCTCCCGGAGCCCAAGGAAAGCCGAGACGGGAGAGAAGCGCGCTGACTTCGCGGTGCTTTGGGCATACTCTTGCTTTTTGAGAAGGCAAAAGTAGGGACCCATTTTGCAGTCGTTTCACATACAGAAGGCCTATTGATGGTACGGGACTTTTTCCTTCTGGTCCCAGCCCAGCCTGCCAATGACCCTCCAGAGTGAGGGGCCGCACACCTGACACACCTCACCGCCTCTAAAGCTGAGTCGGTAGGGACTCTGAGTGCTGAGCTCACCACAGGAGTGAGGGGACTGAAAAGGGTCTCTAAATGGCTCACCCCGAGAGACCCTGATTCCAATCCACATCTACCCAGAGATCTGTCACTATATCCAACCAGACCCAGTTCCTGGCTCTGGACAGCACATGACTCAATGTGCTCTTGGGAAGCGAGTAGCTAGACTGTTTCCTGGGATGTCTTAGACTCTGAAGGAAAATGTCCATAGAGAAGTGTGTGACCTTTCAGGAGGGCAATTTGGAGACACGTGGTAAAGTCTTAACTCCCCCCTCTTTTCAGCCAGCCATTTCAAGGAATTTATCCTCAAAAGTCAATTATTAAAGTTCACAGAAATAATTCCCTACAGTATTAGTTACACCAGAACTACAAAGAGGCTGGCAGTCGACTGCGGCATAGACTTACAAAGAGTAGGTCCAGGAAAGGTGTCGGCTATCTCTTGAAGCGGGAAGGCATGCGACACAACACGTTTTCTGCTGAAGATCTCTTGCTGATCCCAATGATGACAGCCATCCAGTAACTGATAAGAAGAGCTAAACTGGAGAGGAGGGATGAGGGGGATCTGTAGTTGGATGTAAAAGGAATAAAAAATATTCTTAAATTAAAAAAAAGGTGGGGGGGGTCTAAACTGGAGAAGCCAGGATTCCCAAAGACACACCTAATAACACAGCTCCAGCGTTTTCTTAATGATAAAGGACATAATCCTAGCTAGCATACCAAGTACAATTTAGAGAAAGTTTTAGAGAGGAAAGAACAAGAAAATAAAAGACAGAAGGAAAAATAGATGCATAAGGCGATCGTGGTGGCCACTTTGCTTTCCTGAAGAATAAAATAAAACAAAACAAAAACAACCAACCAACCAACAAAAAAATCACATAGGGGCTGGAGAGATGTCTCAATGGCACTTGCTGCTCTTCCAGAGGACCCATGCCTGTAACTCCAGCTCCAGGGGATCTGATGCTGTCCTCTGGCCTCCAATGACACTTGTAGACACATGCCATGTACCCCTCCCCACCACATACACATTAATAAAAATAAACCTTATAAAAACAAGGTAGATAAAAAGTACACATTGAGCATCAGTAATTATTCTAGGTCCTAACTCAACATTTAAAAGAAAGTTCCCTAGGTTTGGCTTTCAAAGTAGCTATTTGAAACAAAAAGTGATGGAATTACAAGAAACAGACACCCATAAACATGATGTGTAATATTTAAAACAGAAACAGGAAAACAACATTAAAAGAGACAGGCTGGAAGTAAATTACTGAAAAAGAAATTCCTACAAATACTAGGCAAGACATAGGGGCAGGTGAGGGAGGGTGGAGGAGGGGTGGATATGATCCAAGCACAGGACATGCTTGCTTGGAAATGTGACAGTGAATATTTGTTTATAACTTATATACACGAACAATAACAACAATAATAAAGGAATACTAACTAGAACAATTCTGTGCCTATATAAAAGGTGAAGATGAAAAGCATATTCAGAATACGAAGAACTACATAATTACAAAAGCAACTCAATAGGAAGCTACAAGAGTTGAAAATGTGGACACACACAGTAACTTCAATATCCAAACTTACAAACAAAAAGTCGTAAGCATGGGGATACAGCCAATGAGAAAGCTCTCCTTGTACGTGTGAGGTCATGGGTCTGAGGCTCAGCACCACAAAGAAAGTTTTCAGAAAGAAAACAGTGATAATGAGAGACTTTTTTATATTATGCCTCCCTCAGTAATTGAGACATCAGATAAAGTATTAGCAGGGACATAGAGTATTTGAGGACCAGGACTGATGTGGATAGATATAAAATAATGGGCCCACCATCTAGAGAAATATTTCCAAGGCCATATAAATGTTTGCAAATGTTGTTATTGGATACCAAGGAAATCATAATTAAAAAACCAGAATTAATGTCACATAAACCACACATTCAGGGCAGTTAAGACAGAAATGGGGAATTATATTAAGGGTTTGGGGAGATGGCTCAGCAGTTAAGAGTTCAGATCCCAGCACCCAATCAGTTGGCTTCCAGATGCTTGTAACCACAGCTCCAGGACATCTCACACCCTCTTCTGGCCTCCAATGGCCCCTGCATTCAGGAGGCAACCCTTCCCCTCCACATCTATACATAATTCCATAATTTAAAAAACAAACCTAAAAGGAACTATATGAATACAACACCATGCATTTTGTAAATATTATAACAAACTGCTATATAACTCATGGATTCAAGTAAAACCAACATTAGAGGGAAATCAGAAAATGTTTAGATAGACCTGAGTGATGATGAGAATTCCATGTATCAAGACTTACAGACTGTCTCTCCCCTCCTTTTCCCTCCTTCTTCCCTTTCCTGTTCTGACTTTCAGTCCTGATTCAGCTAGACTGGCAAGCCAACAGGTTTCAGGGATCCTCCTGCCTCAGCCTAGCCCTAGCATGGGGCTTGCAGGTGCCCTCCATCATGCCCATGCATGGGTGCAGGGGAGCCACACTCAGGTCCCCACGCTTATTCTGCAATTATAGCTTCTCTGAGCACCTCCCTAGCCCCTACAGTTCTGTATGTATGTGTGAGTATGTGTGTGTGTGTGTGTGTGTGTGTGTGTGTGTGTGTGTGTGTGTGTGTGATAAGCAAGTCAGCTTTTTAAATTAAGGTAGAAAGTGGAAATGAAGACCTTTGAAATAACCAAGATCTGAGGACCTCTCCTTCATGCCACCCCACGGAGAGACCTCCTGCTTTCTTTTAGCACCAGGACACTGGCAGCATCTGCCACAATTCCATTGTGCATCTAACAAGACATTCAAGGACAAAAATGAAATGTCCCAAGAAAACCATATTTCCTTTTCATCTGACTGGACAAGACCGTGCCATGGGATAGTGTCACGGGGACACAGAAGCCTGCCGACAGATATCCCATTCAAGTTCTTACCCACAGCAGGGATGCCCCATCTAATTCACAGACTCGGCAACAATTGTAAAGTAAAGTAAAGTGGCCCCATAAATGGCCACATCTATCTTGAAGATTTTACAAAGCTGATAGACAGATTGAGTAGAATTTTGTGATTGTGGAGAATTGAAATGTTACACATTTAGAGCCAGAATTATCTTGGGCTATCTTTAGTCCGTTAATAGCGATCTATTGCCTACCTTGTGTACCTGACCCAACATAACCTTTTCAGCGGCCAGGTAAAACCTTGGGAATGTATTGACTTAGAGCACCAGCTTCCACCAATCCAGAGCTCAGAATGTCCTCAGGTAGCCCCGAGACTTATAGCGCAGGTTTCCAGCTTTGCTCTAACCTGCCTGCCTACTGCCCCACCAATCACTTGGTGAGTGCCTTGATTTCTGACTTCCTTTTGTTCTGCAACTATGAAAGTCCCCGCAACTGCTTCTTCCCCAGTGGAACATGTCAGTCATTTAGAGCAACCCGAATCGGTGTTCCTGGTCTATGATCACTTCTATTTGGCTCAGAATAAACTGAGCTGTGCATTTTGTAGAGACAATGAGCTCTGACAACATCCAGCACAAATACTCTCCCCACACCACAGACACCCCCAACCACTGCCCCCATCAATTATCTACTGGGCCAGTGAATTATTCATTGGCCGAAATGTTTATTAAAAGCCTCATTTGAAAGTGATCTTTGACTTCTTGGCTTCGTTTTATGACTTGGGCTGACATTTCTGTGTTTTTACAGCCAGATTACATTTAGAATGTAACCACCTTCAGAAAATAGCTTTTTGTGAATCTAAAAACTCTCACGCTCTTCGTTTCAATGGCTGGAAATGACATTTCTCTAAATGGCTTCTTTAAATGCAGATATGAATCACTCTTACTGGCGACAGAAATACTTAAGCAACTAACAGATTAAAAGTTATTTGCAGATCGTAGCGTGCTAAATTTACCCCTGGAGTCCACTCGTGTCGCCAAATATGGGCTTCTCTATAGGACTGAAAAATAGTTATTTTTAAATTTAATACAACCCAAATGTCAATGGTCCCGTTTCCCCTCCTCAGCCCCTCCCCACGTCCTCTTTAGCAATGACCAGGGAATAAAATTGCTTTGTGTAGTTGAACTAATATTGTATAAAATTTGGAAAACAAATGGAAAAAGTTACCCAAACAAGAGTAAGCATTTTTGTGGCTTTCTTCCTTTTTATTCTTTTCATTATCCATGTAGCTGCTCGTTGGCAAATGTGTTTTTCTTACGTGAGTTACCGCCTTACATACATGTTCTTGTGCCCACTTCCATCTCTTCTCTTCTCCTTCCTGCTCACCTTCTTTGTCTCATTTTGGTTTTGGCTGTGTGAGACAGGGTCTCCTTCTATATATAGTTCAGGCAGGCGGGTCTGGAACGCACTATGCAACTGGGCTGGCCTCAAACTGGCAGCCAATCTCCTGCCTCTGCCTCTGCCTCCCGAGGACTAGGATTATCAGCCTGGCTCCCATTCTTTATTTTACACGTGCTCCCCACCTGCACCTCTCAGGGCATGCACTGTGCCTGCCACCTTGTCTGCAGTCACCTCTGGGGCATGGAGCACATTTTTTTTTAAAAAAAAAAATTACTCTTTTCTCGTATATTACATCCCCGATTGCAGGTTCCCCTTCCTCCTCTCCTCCACCCCCCCCCACACACACACATCTCCTCTCCCCCGAGACTCACTCCTCCTCCTTTCTCTTGGGAAAAGGGCAGGCCTCCCAGGGATATCAATTAAACATGGCACATCAAGTTATAATAAAACGAGGCACATCCCCTCATACTAAGGCTGGACAAGGCAACCCATTTGAAGGAAAAGGGTCCCCCAAACAGGCAAAGGAGTAAGAGACAGCCCCTGCTCCCACTGTTAGTGGTCCCACAAGAACCCCAAGCTACATAACCATAACATACATAGAGGATGAAGGTCAGAGTCATACAGACTCCCTGATTGTCCATTCAGTCTCTGTGAACCCCAGTGGACCCTGGTTAGTTGATTATGTGACTCATTTTCTTGTGTCTTGATCCCTCTGGCTCCTACAGTTCTTCCTCTTTCTCCTCTGCAGGATTCCCCCGAGCTCGGCCTAATGATTTGCTGTGGGTCTTTGTATCTACTCCCATCAGTTGCTGGTTGAAGCTTCTCTGACAACTCTTATGCTAGACACCAGTCTGGTTATATGGCAGGTTCAGGTTCTGTATCCTGTTACTAGGGGTCTTTGCTAGGGTTATCCTGGTGGATTCTTGGTAGTTTCCATTGCATTAGGTTTCTACCTTGCCCCCAAAATGCTCCCCAATTCTAGTCGCCTCTCCTAGTACTCTCTCCTTCCCCCCACTTACCTAATCCCTCCTGTTCCCATCCCACCCTCCCCCAGTTCACACGACCCACCTCAGGGTCAGCTACAGGGAAATCAGTGTCACCCGACCTCAAACAGCTTTACTTCTGAGAGTCAGTCAATCAGAGACAGCTTCATGCTCTTGCAGCCAATCAGCGAAAGCCATGCTCTAGTAACCACACCTACACCACTCGAGATCAACCAATCCCCAAATATCCTCATGTCCAAAATTACATTAATATGTAACTCCAAGACTCTCTAAACTTTTTCTTTGTTCAGAACACTTGGAGAGAGAAAGGGGGAGGGGGAAGGGAGAAAGAGAACAAGAGAGCACTCTTCAGGTTTTCGTGAGCATCCTCTTCCCCTGACAGCCTTCACAGTTCCATATTAAGCATCAGTAGGACATGGTGGAGAAGCAATATGGGCCATCTGAATCCCTTTCAAACAGTAAGTGCTGACTCATGATGACAGACATGTAGGAACAGGTTATTTCATTGGCTGACCTGGAAAAAATGTTCAAGATACGCTGTGTGGGAAACAGCAGATTATTGTGGTATTTACGTCATGGTTCCAGTTTGATAAAAAATTTCAGTGCACGTATAGAGGGAAAAGGCCTAGACAGACACAGAAGACACTGGAGATTGTAGTAACTACCTATAATAACAGGGGCTGGGGTTGTAAAATATTTCCGTTCAGTTTCTGCACTTTTGTAAGGACGCCTCATTAATTCTGTAATTCAAGCGGGAAGACTCTGATTTTTAAAGTCCTGTCCAGAGCAGAGCACAGCCCACTGCTGAGTGTGTAGTGCAGACAATAGTCCCGTGATGATGCAGTCCCAGCCCTGCCAGCACATCCAGAGTTCAAGGTTAATTACACCATCCCTATCCTTTCTTTAGGGATACGCTGAGTCATAATATCAGTTGCCGCGTGTTAACACGGAACTAATTTTCCTCCGGTTCTGTTTCCCTTGTCCGCTGCACTAACAGTCCTCTCACACTCACACATACACAAACTCAGACAGATTCTCCTCTCTCCCTCCCCCTCCCCCTCTCCCCTCCCCCCCCCTCTCTCTCTCTCTCTCTCTCTCTCACACACACACACACACACACACACACACACACACACACACGTCTTTCTCTATCTCCATCTTTCTGTCTCTCTTTTCCTCCCTCCCTCCCTCCCTTCCCCCATCTCCTTTGATCCCAATCCTGCATCCTTTGGGGGATACAGACCCTGCCTTCCTTATACCCGGTTCATTGCCAACCCTCTACATGTTTTTCTCCCAGAACACCTGGTGGTTTTGCCCACTTCTGCCAACACTCTGGTTCAGCCTCTCCTAGGTGCTAAAATTTCTTAGACCGGCCACCTGAGAGCCAAACCTCACCCACACCCCAGTTCACATGACCCCCATACTGCTGGATTACAGACCAGCGCTTGTCAGTTGAAGCCAAGTTTGCTGGTGCAGGGCTTTAATCCCAGCTACTAGGGAGGCTGAGGCAGGAGGATTGTGAGTTCAAGGTCTGTCTTAGCTTTTGAAAGAGTTCAAGGCCAGCCCAGGAAACTTAGTGAGATCCTGTCTCCAAACAAAAAGTAAAAAGAGGACTGGGAGTGTGTCTCAGCAGCAGGATGATTGCCTAGCAGGCCTGAAGCCCTTGGGTGGGAGCTTTGCCTCAAATAAAAATAAAATACACACACACACACACACACACACACACACACACACACACACACACACACACACACGGGGGAGACAGATCGAACAGCCAGAGAGCAGCCACAGCCATCCCATCCTGGAATGCATACAGCCCATAGACCATGGGTTAGACTGTACCCGCTAGACTCTAAAGTTTGGTTTGGAGCTGTGGAGAAAGTATATAAAGCAATAAGCGAGTATTTCATACTGCCAGAGGAGTAAAATTCACTGAAGTCTTTTGTTGGAGAGATGTCTGCTGTTGGGTTGTCGTGTGTGTGTGTGTGTGTGTGTGTGTGTGTGTGTGTGTGTGTGTGTGTGTGTAGACTAGAGGTTAGCACCAGATGTCTGTTTCTATCTCTTTCTACCTTATTTTTTTGAGACAGGATCTTTTGCTGAACCGAGCTAGCTGTTTCTTATGGAGCAGCGGGCTCAGTGACCCCAGGACCTGCCGGCCTCCCCCTTGCCCGTGCTGGGATTCCACGTGCACACTGCTGTACCCTGACTGTCTTCACACGAGTCCTAAGACTAGAACTCAGGTCCCCATGCTTGCATTTTGGGCCCTTTATGGACCAATCCATCTCCCCAGCCTTCCTTTAGGGGTTTGAGTTCCACTATTGGCTTTGAAAACCATGGGGTGGCTTAATCAAATTAAGAGTTAGGTGTCCCTAAAGTCTGAACAAAACAACAGAATTGTTAAAATCTTGTGACCTCTGCAGTGTCGGGCCAGGAAGAGAGAGTAACTCAGCAGAGGTTGCGTCACGGACTCGTGACTACAAAGCGGGTATGAAACCAAAGAAGACATTCTCCTTTACGTCCTGTCCACTGTCTCTCTGTAAACTCACACAACTGGAATGTGCCACACTCTTCCTGGACCAGTTCTGTTCTGATCCAGTTCTCCCCTTGAGAGGGGCCAAAATATCACCTCCCAAAACCCATCTGCAGAAATGTTGCCTAGAGGTCCCTGAGGAGGAGAAGGCAGCCACGCTGTATTCAACTCCATATAATAATATTCTCTCTCTCTTTCTTTTTTTGGTTTCTTGAGGCAAAGTCTCACTATGTAGTGCAGACTGGCTTTAAATTCATGGTCCTCCTGCCTCAGCCTCCTGAATGTGGGGATGATGTGTGTACCACTAGCCCTGGAGCCTATATGATATTCTCAAATCATTTTTTATTCATGTTTTTCCTCTCCCGGTCCTTTTGCAGGGCTGCCTCATACCTCTTCTGCCATACCCCGCCCATAAGTGGTTTCTGTACCCGCACCCCTCTGGTCTTTTAGATTTTACCCCTA